GTACTCAGAAGCCAGGTCTACAGCCTATTTTATACTTATATGCCTCTGAAGATGTTTCATTAGCTAACACATCTTACCCAAGAGTTTCATAGAAAACCAGAACCTGGAGCAAGCATCCCCCACCCCCATTAAATGAGGTGCTCCAGCTGGATTTTCCTAATGCTGTAAATGCTTTTTATATGCCTTGCCACTACCTGCACATTCTTGTTGTACTTTGAACTTGTGAGTTCTATCTTACAGAAGTGATAAAATTTCAGGTGTGGCATTTTCAGTTAATGTAAGCAAAGAAATGCTGCACTAAAGTTGACCTAGTTCATGCAATACAATGCATATTTTCCTTAAACCTATCATATATCTATATTTAATTAGCCTTTATATTATCTAACTAGGAAATAAAAATGGAAGATTTACAGTATGCCAAGGTTTGGTAATTTTTGTAAATTCATCACTGTTTTATGGTTTATGACAAAGTTTCTCTCCCTTTGGGCATCTATCTCAGAAGAGTGTATTTAATAAACATGAACATCACTTTTATAATTCATATATACACTTTCACCCAGAGGAAAAAGGAAAGAGGACCCTTGTTAAAAAAGATCTGGAGGCCTGGGGATTTAGCGAAGTGGTCCTGGTGCCTGCCTCACAAGCGCAAGGTCCCGAGTTCGATCCCTGGTACTGAAAACAGAAAAAAAAAAGAAAAGATCTGGAAATGCAAGTCTCTCTTACCCTTCGGTGTACTGCTGCTTTGCTCATCCAGCGAGGCTCCCAGAGGTGTACTGAAACCACAGAACACAGAAGCCTCAGTCTCAAGAAAGCCATCTGGAGAACTGTCACCAACAGCCTCAGACTTACAGCTAAGCAAACATCTAATCAATTTAACTCTCTCCCTCAAAACACACAAGCAGTGTGAATGGATTACATAAGTAATATCCCACTAACTAAACAAACACCTACTCTTAGGTCACTTCCCCGGGAATGACTTAATTACAGCTCACCTACCAGTGATCAGGAGCAAAAATGACACTCACAAGTGATACTGAATTGGTATTTTCTTTGCAAAAACAAAAAAAGAACAAGGGAATGATAATAGGCAGTAGGAAATATCTGTTCCTCACAGTCTTCTCCATACTAACAGAAAACAGAAAGAGAAGAAAATAAACCTTAGAGTAACTTAGAGTCTAACTAGAAAGGAGGCTCGGTTTTCTCAATCCCCATCACTCCACTTCTGAGCACTACCCTAGGGCCTCCTGTGCCCCAAGGACTATTTGCTCTGAAGCTTGAAATTCACTTTCTGCTTTCAAAGTAGAAAACACATACTTTCTTCACTTAACTCTGAACATTACTAAAAAGTTGGCTTGAGAATCAACATTAAGAACAAGCCTTTGTTAAAATTTTTTCACATTTTTGTCACTCAAACACAAATGACTTAGAAATTTCCTTTATCAAATATAACATACTTTTATATTTATCAAATATTTCTACTTTTCTCCAAACTAAGAGTACGAAATAGTTCTATTTTGAAAATTGTTTCGTAATACAAAGCTTTTTCCAGTAACAATTTATACCTGTCACAAATTCTTTTCAGACATGGGTTCAATCATGAAAATACCAAAGAAATGCTAACTGAAATGGCAATTAAAAGTTAAAATTTTTTCAAGCAGTTTTCTGAAAATTAGTTTTTGAAATGTACAAAACTCACAAGCAATTACTATACAGATATTAATAAACCTTTAAGCTAAGTTTTTGCATATATTTTAATAAAACTCTATACCTTTAAAAGCCTTTTTTTTTCCCTAATGGTTCCTTTCTTAGGCCAAAACACTGCACTGCTCTGTCCACAGATGTCTCTACTGGTCTGTGCACTATCAGAAAATGGCACATAAGCAAAACATAACTGGATTTCTCCCTCAGAAACAAGTCTTCACTTTTATAGTTACTCTCGTCTAAATTCTACCCAAATATCCTCCCCCATACTAATTCATGCAATTTATTTCCACTTAGCCAAAAAAAAAAAGATTTCCTTTAAGAGAAGAAACACAGTATCTCTATTCAGGATATAGACAGCAATGAGCAAACAAAGAATATTTAAGAATTTATCAAAGGTGAAAAAGCTGGCTTCAGGTCATTTGCACATAGCATACAAAATACACGGATGTCCCACTCTAGGAAGGATCATATATTGTTTAAAAAAAAAAAAGAGTGACACATAGCCTAGCAGTCAAATCTACAATAATATAGCCAACATTAAAACACCACTGGTCTAATGTGTCCAGCAAGAATGAAAACCACTTTTGTATAGAGTAACTCCAACTACCGGAATAAGTAAGAAGCCTATGAGAAACAGAGCAATGGCTTACAGAATCTGCCCACATAAATCAAGTTTAGCAACACAGCTTCTGGAACTTTCAGGAACTATTGTGTCCTGCTGAATGCCAGCATTTCCTATTGCACTTCTGAAAAGATGCACTTACTCTTCACTTGATAGGACCTCTTTCACATTCTCAACTCCTGTATACCATAAAATGTGACTTTTCTCTATTATTTAAAAAAACTATTTTGAATAGATGCTTGGATTTAAACAATAAAATGCTACAAGCTTATTTTAAATGCTAAAACTATTTTAAGATACCAAAAGGAAGACAACACTGTGTTTAGGACTGTATATATTTAAATCAAGACTGAGATTGAAGGTTTTAAAAGTTCTGAGTAAAAGTAAGCAAAATATCCTCTTCAGATACTTTTAGAAAAGGAAACCTACCATATACTGGTTTCACAATGTCTCTCCTAAAACATCCTGAGAGTGCTTATTTAGGATCTGAACCTTGCAAATTTTACACTATCCGGGTACTGAACAATTACATGAACCAGTGGCACACTATTATTTCTTAATCCGTTCTGAGTGGAGCCACTGAACACCTAGGCCACAGTCTACTAAACTGGAAATCAAGCGCTTGTGAAGCTAGGGTGGGGGCACCTCAAGCTATGTACCTGCCTCTGTGGTCTTTACAGAGAAGGGCAACATATTTCATAATATCTCGAGAGGTTCTCTAACTCCTCCAATAAAAATTATCCAACTCTGTAAGAAGATGTTTCAATTAATCAAATGGGACATTAGTATAGTAATGACCCATACTGTATTGTATGTGTGTCTTTATGGGAGAAAAATAAGCTGGCATATCTAAGAATCACTTTGTAAAAACACAAGTCTTCCCTAATTCTAGTACTTGAGCAACACGTTAAGTTAAACCTAAACTGAGAAAGCAAAATAGTCTCAGAAGAACCAACCAAAGCTTAAAAACTACATTCTTCATGAGGTTTTATAACTAGCAATTAAATTGCAAACAAAACTGAAACAAGCACATTTTACTATGGTCAGATTTGCTTGCATTATGATTCATCGCCTCTGTACTTTATCAAACACTTCTGTAACAGTTGCCAAAGCACGCAATTAAACATTTAGGCAGTATGACTGCCTTCACAGCTCTATTTCCTTCTGTGAATTCCAGTGCCATTTGACAAATCCATGCCCAAGAAGTAAACTACACGTACAAAGTTAACTAGTTTCAATAGCTCCCCAAAGAGAATGAATGCACACAAATAAAATTAAAGCCCGGTGAGTGTAAGTTAAACTCGTCTGAAACACATCTGAAAGGAAAATGATTCAATGCCAGATGTACAGATGCCAGAACAAAAGCAAAACAGGACAACCTGTAAAATGTGAGAGTTCTTTCAAAAACAGACAAGGCCAACCTAGTATCTAATGCTAACACCAGGCTCGGACAGCTCAAGTCCCAACAACTGTAAAGTCAACGGGACCACCAAATAATCAGCGGCCCCAGTGCTTGCATTTTTAATCGCTACAAGGAGGAAGCTATCTGCCAGCTCACTTTCCGGTTCAGAGCTCACAGCCGCGACGGGACCAGCGCGACGGGGACGGAGTCCGGGACAGGGGGGCCCGGGCGCCTCTTCTGGGACTCACCGGCAGTCCTTGAGCCATATCGCGATCTTCTCGTTGGGCACGTTTCCTGCGGGCAGAGCAGGGGCAGCGGTGAGGGACCCTGGAAGAGGGACGCCCACGGCGGGTCCCCGGCAGGGCGGCAGACAGCAGAGACTCGCGCGTCCCGGCGCCCAGGTGCGGGCCTCGGGCGGCACCAGTTGCGGGCCTCACCGCGGTACCCGGAGACCCGGGACGGCCCCGCGCCCGGCCACACCCACCTCGCCCCGAGGCCGCCGGCAGCTTGGCGCCCGACAGGTCCTCGTCGTCGTCGTCCTCGTCCTGCGTCGTCGCCTCGGTGGACAGGTCCTCCGTCTCCGACGCCTGCCAGGAGCTTCGGCACTTGGCCCAGGCCTTCCTCCGGCGAATCGCCACTTGCCACTCCAGTTCCTCCTCCGCCTCCGCCGACGCCGTCAGGGGCCGGTTCATGGCCGCGCCGGGGCTCCGCCGCCCGGGCCGAGCCTGCGCGGGACACGGCGGCCGCAGCGGCGCGACCCCCGCCTCGGTCAGCGCGGCCGGCTGGGGGCCCCGGGCGCGGGAGCAGGCGCCGAGGACGAGGAGGAGGAGGAGGAGAAGGGGGCAGGGAGGGAGGGAGGGAGGAAGGGGAGGGAGGGGGCGGAGGGCCGGCGCCTCACATGAAGCCGGCCGGGCGCGGCGCGAGCGCAAGTGGCCAAGGCGGCGCGGGGAGCCCA